CGAGATTCTTTTCCGATGTCTAAGTTATTGATAGTATCATCTATTTAACAACCTGATTTTTATACATATTGCAGACAACGAGGCCTCCCTAGAGTTAATTTCGCAGACATGAAAAATCAGCTGAATATTTCTTCCATAAATTAATTGCTTATATATTCATAGGAAGGATTTACAACTGCTTATCATAATACATATCAAAAGTGACGGTTCACGGAAACCTCTTAGGCCACCACTAATGATTAGTGATACAGAAGCTAATTCCACTATTGTATTGTGTCTCACTGTACGTGAGAAGTTAAAACGGTAAAACGAAACGAGTAGAGATAGTTGAAATGTTGAACTTGCGTTTTAATTAGGGAGTAGAAAGGACGCAACAGATTGTAGATTCTTTTATTCGTCAGACATAGGAAGTCGGAGTTGGGCAGTTTGAGATACTGATAAATGATAATTAGGAATTGATCAAAGCTTTCCTGTACGCTTGCCTGTTTTCTTGCACTAAGCTGGTGGTGTGAAAGGAATTTACTGTTTAAATGATCTTTCAAATGAATCTTACAGTCTTATGTAAAACTTCAACTAGGGGTTAAAACTGGGGTGCACTGTTTTCTGTTTTGTTTTGTTTTATTTGTCACCCTTATAACATTCAAGAGCTATGCCTATTGATCCTGTTTCACTGCACATTTGATTGAAACACTAACTGATCATTTAGTTTCGTTTCTTAAGCCAGAGTTGGATGACAGTCAACAGACGAACAACTCCTCACTTGACTCGGACGATGACTTCCGCAAAGTTAGTCCGTATCACAGACAACAATACTTTTCAATTCTTCTCTTACGCGAAGGATCGTAGAACACGACCAAATCTGTATTAGTGACCAAAATTATACGATCATGCATTATTTCCTCTATTTTATGCTGAGGTTTCAATGCACCTTATCTTGAATTCCAATATATCTCCCCTTTATAATTCCCTGGGAGGGATTCCTGGATTGCTTTGTAAGCCTTCGTTTTATCAAATTTGTCAGCCCATGCTTTTTTGTTCCATGACTTTTTAAATATCTTTTTTTTCTTCAATCTTCCGCGAAGCTACTTTTTCTGAATAGATTTAAAGGTGTGTGAGGTGGATAATATCTTCTTTGATTTTGACAGGGTTACGCCCTCTGTTTTCTCTACAGAAAGAAGCAAGCACTATATACATAATCGCTGAAGAATATCACCGCCGTCGTAAAAATGACCGCGTTTTACAAAACTTCGGGAAACGCCACGGATTATGAAGAAACCGCTGGATTTTCAGCGATCGAGATTGTGCAATTGGTGCTTTATTTTGCGATTATTTTAGTTGGCTTAGTGGGTAACACAATGATCGTGGTCACACTGCTTGGCCGACAAACGCGAAGAGTTGGAGAATACCTCATTTTAAACCTGGCCATCACGGACTTCGCCACTTGTGCCATAAGTATTCCTCTCGATCTAGCTGAGCGACTCTCAGGTGGTTTTCCATTTGGTTCAATACTTTGCTATATGATCTACCCGTTTCAAACTGTGTTAATGGCTGTGTCTGTGATAACATTATTGTCCATGAGCTTGGAGCGACACAGGGTTGTCATGACACCTATGCGTCCGAAAGTGCTTCCTAGAACAGCGAAGTTTGTCATTGGGGTGTCATGGCTCATACCCTCTCTGGTAATAATACCTTATGCTTTGGTTCTACGGCTCGAAGGAAAGCAATGTATGGAGAAATGGCCCGAGGATTGGTATGTTAAGGTTTTCACTCTAACTAACTTCGCCATCTTCTATGTGGTTCCGCTAACAGTCATCGCGTCTTCGTATGTTCGCGCCGGGCGTAAGATACGTAAAGAACTGGACAGGCTTGAACATGTAGTCGACAGTCACAGGTCACAGGTTCAATACACAAAGAAACGCACTCTACAGAAAATGAGGATCACCAAAGTGTTCATAGTAGCAGTGAGCGCATTCTTAGTGTGCATGCTGCCCACACACGCCTCGTGGATCTGGCACGACTTTGGGCACGGCTGGGACAGCAAGTATTTCCAAGATGTGCTCATATTCAGTAATATACTTATGTACGCTAATAGTGCGTCTAATCCATTCATTTTTGGTTCTTTGAGAAAGTTTTCGTTGGCACGCCTTTTTTGCTGCTGTCGGAAACATTCGGGTGAACTTTACCAACTCGAATGTATTTATGAGCTTCGGGTTGGCTCGACGACTCTTCACGTTGGTAGAGAAATGGCAGTGAAGGGATATAACAAAGCGTCAAAACTATTGGAAAGGACAAACACAAATCGTCTTAAATGTGCGAATGTTTGAGTCAGTCCCAAATACTGTTTTCACCAATTGCCTAAAGCCGAGCGCCTTTAAACTCAAGGATTTAAACGCTTAACTTGTAATTGCCTCTGCCGATTTCAGGACTCACAAGGACCTCGAGGCATACGGTGAAAGGAAAAGAAAAAAATTGAGAGCAGGGGAAGGAAAGTAAAGTAAACTCCTGCTTAGCTTACACCTCTGATACGCAAGCTGCTAAAAAAATATGCTTTGAGCTCGAATCAGTTTTTACACCAAGCCATTTTCATCGTCAACAAGAGGACATCAGACCATTTTCTCTTGTGCCATCTGAATCAAATTCATCTTGATGTAAAGTTGTATCCTCATTAGTGACACACCGTGTTATCCAGTCGTTTCGTATCCATCCCAGTATACATTCCTGCGAAATATCATGCGCGAGCGCGTGAAAAGATGTCGATTAATGAGTACGACAAGTTTGTAGAGTCAAGCGAGTAAGACTAATTCTGTAGTGAAAACTTGTGACCTTCTTAACAAAAACAACTAAATTATTTCCTAGTGGAAGCAAGTGTGATATTTTAAATGGAGCATTTAAGTGTTTATACTTGTGACTTTTACAGTAACAGCTAGGGTGACTGAATGTTTTTTTTCTCCCTTTGTTATTTATACTTACAAATTCGTTCATTTGTCCCTTCCATTTATACTTTAAGCATATTTAACATGGAAAACATACTTTAATAGTATGGGTACGAATCTACCCAGCTGGGCACAAAACGACTGGTAACTCGCCATGTAGTCTTTCCATTTACGGCCCTTGGAGCTTTAGAGCGTATCTGTTGTAAATTCAACAGGGAGGGCGGAACTGTTTCTGTCCAACACTTCGTATTATTTCATGATGTCGTTTGGTCGAGTGGTTAATCAATTAATTTATTGGTCGTTTGTTTCTTTTTAACAAATACTTCAAAGTAATAAATCTAAGATATCAGTTTCAGCTCTTTGGAGCTGTTTTTAATTAGTTGCACATTGAGTGATCAGTCAGTGCGTGCTCGCCTCTGTCAGGCAGTGTTATCCTAAATGACGATACAGAGCAATTATCAATTAAGCGTCGAGAGTATTCGAGATTGCTTTGGTTTACTCTACTTACTTCGTTATTTGAATGGGGCAGGAAACTTGTGCCTCTTTACCATTCCGATCCAAAACCAAAACCAATCGCGTCGCTCGTGTTTTTTTTTTTCCCTCGCTTTTCGGGCAGTTGTCTCTTTTTACTTTGAATTCTTATTGGCTCGTTGCCTCTGGTTGGCTGTTGTGATTATTCTCGTTTAAATTTTACGATACGTAATCGAAATGCGCTTCAAAACGCGATTTATAACATAAAGCAAAGAGGGTAAGACAGGTTCTTTGAATAGTCTTTAACATTTCACAGTTAAGGAATAAGAAGAGGAATTTATAGCTCGTACCCCGATCTAAATTTCACAGCCATGTAGAGTCCCACGTTTACACTTAAATGTTTTCCGTGAGTACTATCCAATTGAAAAGTTTCTTCCCTGTTGAGATTTTCATTAGAGACCTTCAGTTACGTCATCAAACATGGTGTTGAAGTCTCGCCAGGTGACAATCTAGCCTTTTTTCATCCAACTGCACTAAGCAGAATGCAAACAACGCGTGAATCGAGTACAAATATCACGCGATATTTGGAGAGTTAGTTATTTTATACGGTAAAAAAAATTATATTTATATTCAGAAATGCGCATGAAATGAAGCAGCTAGGTAATATATAACATGCTGAGTATTATTACTCGTTTTTAACTCGTGCAAATGATTTTTTATGGGGACTCCGATATGCAAATGAGTCACTCATTCACTCATTAAGATGTAGACCCCAGTGGTAAAAGTCGTCCCGATCTTGCCCAAGCACGAAACCCTTTTGGAGTAGTAACCGGGTATGAAACGATAGAGAGGCTTTGTTATAGTTTGTAGTAACATCGTTGCTTAAGGTATCACCTTCCAAGTGAACAAAAATTGATCGAGTTCAGGCATAAGCCTAATACTGCAAATCGCTTCGATTGTTTATGATGTGATGTAAAACAAGGACCATGATTAAATTCAACTATCTTGATCGATCGGAAGCGGAAGAGAACAATCCTGTGCTTTTCTAACAAAATAAAACTTGTGTAGTTCATTGCCGCACATGTTTACCTTCAATCAGTCAAAAAACTTCAGTTGTTGTAATATAAGATGCGTTCTTTAAACCGTTGCAATACAAACCGAAGGATCGGCAACCGTCACATCAGAACGCTTCGATGCTATGGACGCTTTCCAACACCTTTCCGACACTTATTACACTACGGAATTGTTCGGTTCTTCAGTGAGAAAGCTTTTGCTTTATTTTTTGTATGTTGTGTTATATCGTGAGCCCTGAAAGAATCAAAGTGACTGTTCGGGGATTTAGATCTCAGCATCAAAGTTTTCGTATTTATGGTACATGCTGGTTGCCAAACACTTCGGTTTGTTAATATCTGTGATTATATGGAAATCATATATGAACTGCGCATAAGTAACTGGATATGAGAAGGATCTTCGCAGTAATAAACACTACTTAGAAGGCAATAGAAAAGTAATTTTAAGTGTAGGCGAGTTGGCGTGGGCGACTTGACTGTTATTCTGGCATAACTCGTGAAAATACTTAGTGAAAACGCCTAAAACGATACACTTATCGACTCCGGCGGGACTTAAAACGTAATGCAATCTAGTCAGCCAAGAGTCTGATGACTCTCTACAGGATCGAAACAGAGGTATGTTAGGCCAACCATGAACTTTTGATCTTAAACTGATGATTCGAATAAGGCATTGGTAAGATTGCTGTTTCCTCTACTTCGGTTTTCATTAGGGGTTGGACTGTTTCGTTTTATAACACTTATCTCAGGCGACTTTAATAACTTTTTGTTTCCTGTAGAACGTCTTTTCCTGATGAAGCTATGAAATGGAAATGTATTACGTGCAAAGTAACGCCCTTTGCGATTTTTCTGACGAAGACAGTTGTAGGAGTTGTACCTACTGCCAAGAGCACCAAATATGTACGGGTTAACCGCGCTGTTTGCGTAAGCCATTACGTTAGCGAACGTAAGAACTTCATTGAAATGTGACCAGTCTTGGCCGTTTCCAAAGTCACTCCACATCCACATGACCTGAAAAGGCAGCAGACAAAGAGCAAAAGCCACCACTGCTAAAACAAAGAATTTTACGATCCTGATGTTTCTTTGTGTTCGAGACTTGGCCAAGCGGCTCTTGCAGCTTAAAGTTCCAACGAGAAGCTCCGCCTTGTGACTGTTAGCACGAAGTCTTATCCCCACGAAAGTGTATGCGGCTGTAATGACGCACAACGGGCTCAAGTACAATATAAGGAACACACATAAACTGAAGGCTTTGGGGTATCTTGGATCGTTATTAGGCCAATTTTCAGCACAGTGACCGTCCTTTATCGTAAGGGCGGCGGCATATGGTGACACCAGACCAGTAGCTATAACCCAGTTAAGCAGAATCACCAACATTATAACTTTCCCGGGTATCTTAGGCTTTAGTGGGTGTAGAATAGCACGGTGGCGCTCCACTGCCATACACAGCAACGTAAACACTGAAACAGCTATGAGGATTGTTTGAAGAGGATAAACGATCCTGCACATTACCGGACCAAATGGCCAACCACCCAGCACGACCAGGCTAATATCAAACGGTATACTCAGTGCACAAGTTAAGAGATCTACTGTAGCCAGATTCAAAATAAAATACTGGCTGGTTTTGAGGTAATGTTTGGTAGCCAAATCGAATACTAACATCACGTTTCCTATCGTTCCGATTACAATAATAATGGAATAACAAGTTATTTGAATCACTGTCAAAACTTCTCTTGTCGGCTCCGTGTTCCTGGACTTTGTAAAATTTAAAATACTTTCGTCTCTGGAAATGTTCACGTTTGTAGGTTGAAACGACGCCATCCCGTTTCTCTTGCTCTCTAATTACTTCAAATCAGTATATGTAAAAACTTTAAGTGTTAATATTTCTTTTTTTCTATACAAAACACTTTTTGTCTCGCAGTATTCCAAAAGCCTTTGAGGTATTTTCGGCTTTTGTGTTTCGCAAACGAAGCCTTTAATGTATGTCAGCTTTTGTTTTACTAATCTCCCTCTTTGTTGGCTCGATAACCTTACATGTTGTTGTTTTTGTCTTTACACTGACTTTTCCCGATCAACCAAGCACAGGCTAATAATGGTGACCTGCAAAACATAGGAAATAATTGTGAACCGTTTTCAAAATCTGTTTTAAGAAGTAAAGGCTGAAGTTGGTTCATTTCGTGGGAACACACAACTACTTGGACATAAGAGTATCTATGAAGGTTTGGATATTCATGATTGCCCATCTCTGAAACCGCAAAGTTGAGCAGGTGGGTTGCAATTAACGGTGATTCATTCAAACAAAGGCGAAGCCAAGGGGAGGGTGCATGCCTCTGTCCTCTTTAAACAGAGTGAAAAATTTACTAGAGCGCTCCGAAGGAGGCCTGAGTGTAAATAACATTCAGGGTTTCTCCTGCTCTAACCCGTTGGCCAGGCGCTCAATGGTGGAAGGAAGCAAAAGAGTGCGCGAGCGAAAAACTGAAGGGGTTAGACAAAGGAAGAAATGAGAGAGACAGGAGAGCCTGAAAACAATGAGACAATATTATTGTCTGTAGGAGGAATGAGCTGCTTGAAGATAGTTCATTCCGCCCGTTGCCCCCTCCTTTCCGGAAAACATTTTATCGTGGTATCAACTCCTCAACTGTGGGTAGCAAGATTTTGCGCGGGATTACTATTAGTCACTTATGATCGATCATATTTGCTGAGAATTTCATCGTAATTCACGCTCGGCCGCCACTTAGCCCCTGCAGGTTTTTAAAGGAAAATGTTTTGTGTCTTGGAAAGAAGGTACTTTGTTCAGTGGGAATTAGAAACTGGTTTCTTGCGCTTGCTGCAGAAATTATGCGCTGGCCCGCGATAGTTCCTTCTCTTGTGCCAAAGGAACTTCATCCTTTGGCGAAGAGAAAGGGCGACAAGCTCGAATGCTTCGATAAGACGAAATCGTGTGATATATGAATTATAGCTGCTTCCTGACCAAAACTTGCACGCTTGTAGTTTTATTCTTCACTATTTGGTAAAAGGTTATAAGAAAAGAAGAAAATCCTATCACAGTTGCCATTTCTCACTTATTCTTTGTTATGCTGGGTAAAAAAAAAAAACAAATAACCACAAAATGTCACCTCTATGTAACTATTTTCGTTACAGAAAATATTAATCATCAAATATACGTGTCTGATATCATCAAATATCGATGATACGCGCCAGTACCTGATAATTGAGATTCAAGCCGATGAGTCGAACTCAGCGCAACTTTGTCGTGGAACAAAATTTTTATACCAAATTCAGAGGGTTAGTGCTGAATTCAAATTATACTACAACCGTAATTTCAAGAGATGTTAGACTAAGTGAAGTTTTCTATATCAAATAAAGATTATTGATCTGCAATAGCCATTTTTTTTAATGCGAAGGAGTCGGGGAAAAATATCCCGACAGTTTATCTGATCATCTTTAATTTCACACGGGTAGCTGCCTAAGGAGAGTTGTATTTTATCTTAGCGATCGTTTCCACTAATATGCGGTAGTGATGAATAACGCACTGTATGTCGGTCACCCTTAGGTATGAAGTTCTCTCAACAAACTGGTAACACAGTCGCTTATCTTGATACGGTGTGACTTACCCTGACAGAAGAACAAATGTTACGAAATGACTTGGGCCATGACATAGCTCAGTAGATACATTTGACAAGGAGATTTTAGCTCCAAGAACAACTCTCGGAAAATAATAAAAGTCTCAACTTTATGGACAAACCTGCTTCCTGAGTAGTCACTAGTTTGCTCTGCTTCACTACGGGCACGTGTTTGGCTTTAAGTACTTATTACGTCACGATTTAGGGGGCCCGCCTCTAGCTACGGGGAATGTAAAAGTGGGGTAGCATCTTTGCTTCAATCAAGCCATTTTCTTTGTTTTGGTTTTACATGTGTAAAAATAAGAGTTTGCTCATACTTAAATTGAATTAGTTAAGCCATTTAATACCCACTCTACGAAAAAAAAAGGTAGTTTAATTTTTGGCTTAAGTTCGGAGCAAACCTTACACTCGTTCCAAAGATACGACGCGACGCCAGACAGTCTACGCATTTTGTCGAGCCATTACAGGTTCAACTTGTTCCCCTCCAGCGTTAAATAATTTCTCTCGTTTTGTGTAGACCTTTCTCTCCAATTCAAACAAGAAGATTCCTCCCCTAAGGATAAAGCTCGTGTTCTTTTTCTCACTCACAGAACGTGAAAAATACAAAGCAAGGGACCCTTTTGTGTGGCTGTGGCAAGAAATAATGATAGTTCGTGACAGGAAATCGCGTTCGGTTGACTGATTACTCAGCAACGACAATTTATAAAAATAGTTGCATCTCGATGCATTTATGGTAAAATGATCGAATATCACGTAACACTTGGTTATTCGTTCATTATTCTGAGCTGATTATTAAATTAAACCGGAGAACTTTCTGAAACTTAGCAAAGCACGAAAATGTTGTGAAATATGAATAGCCATAAAAGGGAAAAAGAAATCAACTTTCTGTCAAATGTTTTTGAAAGTTATTTTCATGATTTGTACTAGTATTTGTGCACTGTACGACGACTATTTGAATTTCGCTATGTAGACAACAATGATGTTCGTTTTCCAACAAAGCTGCTCTCTAAGATCAGTGCCAAATGTTATTGATATGAGCTTACCTTACATTTGTACATTCCTGCTTTTTAGGTTTCACGGCTTCATATTCGTTACATGCTGACCTTGAATTCAACTGCACGCCGAGCAAGTATATCGAAATTTGTTGAGAATTATGTACTTTCTCAAGTGCAGTTTAATGCGATTGAGATTCTAAAGATAGCCGCGGAAACCCCCAGAACATTCCGATCGCAGGACCGTTCATTATTCCTCAACACGTTTTACGAGTTTCGATAAGATCAAATTGTGATAAGATCATCAGTATCAAAGCGTGATTCGTGCTACGTGATCCATATGGCGCGCCATGTGTGATATGTGATGAGTGGTTGAGATATTTTAATGTGTGGAACAAGTGCTCGCGCTTTTTCAATGACACTCGCGAAGTTAAAATCGATAGAACTTTCCTCAAATGCTGCATGAAACATTCGCTCTTCACGACCGGCTGTAAGTTGAACACTATTTTATCACGAGTGTTCTAAATTTAAACCATTGCATGACGTAGAAAACAAACAGGGATTTTAGTGATGAAAATGATATCAAAATGTGACCATTTAAGTGTTTTAATAAGATCTTTGAATGTTTTTGTGTTTAAAAAGGATTAACTTTGAAATGTACTTTCGTATTTTAATGGTACATCACAAATTAGAAAGGCTAATATTTCGAGCGTTAGCCCTTCGTCAATCGCTCTGACGAAGGGCTAATGCTCGAAACGTCAGCCTTTTAACTCAGTTGTAAACACTAAATCACCTGCTATACTCTCCCACCACAGTTTTTTTAGAAACTTAGAAACCTACCCCCTTTATTTAGACGAAAATGTATCTCAGCGAAAAAAAATATATATACAAAACCTAACCAAAATGGGAAAAATGAGGTTTCTGAAAAAATATAAGGATGTATAAGTCATACACAGGAGCCCATCACTCAGCTGTCATTTAGAAACGTGATCAAAATAATAGTACATTCATAATATCTCAAATGTGATACAAAAGTTTTACCCAAATCTACCCCGGCAGTAATAATTTGTCCGACTTCATACACGAGAAAAAGTCTAATCTACGATTAACCATACAAAGCTGCCGATATATTTAGACGAAATTAACTATACAATAACGGATGATGAGAAACAATTTTGCACCAGTAACTGACGCCAAATTTTGATTCTGGATATTGATTTTTTAATGATTGCCAGAGGCGGTACGACTTGTTAACTCCTGGTCTGTTAAATTAACATTACAGGTAAATTATTCCAGCAAGCTAAATTTTGTCGCTGTCATTATGCGAGGATGGTCTTAAACAACACAAATTTAAACTCTCACTCAAAGTAAAAAATGAGAGAAAATAACTAACATGAAATAATTGTATTTGTGGCATTGAAAATGGCATTTACGTTTAACACACATATAAAAATATCATATTTGAGAGTCTCAGTAACTGATTTAATGGATACAAAAAGCGAAATTATCCCTACTCCAACCAAGGAAAATATGAGGTGTTTCAGATTGGACTGATAGTAAAATTCATGCTTCTTCTTTGATAGGAAGAGAGTCCAAAACAAATATACTCTAACATCAGGACTGTGGTGTTTAGATACCAATTAAAATCGTGACTTTGGTTTTTCTGCTTTTTGCGTTGAATTGGTTTATATGGTTACCAGATCGGGCTTTACCTATCCATGAAATTACAGTACCTACCTGCCAAAGACTAACATGATAGTACTGTGCAAGATAAATGCGGTAAATTCTCGAGAGTTGCCACCGAGGAAGTGTTCGTTGACTGACAAAATGAGGGAAGATTTTCGATTCGTTTCACAACTGTTTTGTTTAAGAATAAAGTTCGGAATATTGCGCTCTCTGTCTCCTTCATTGCTATCGTTGGTAACCGATTTCGTTCTATAGGATTTGTACTATGTATTTATACTGTACACTATCGAAGGAATTACCTTATCGTTTAAGAATATCGAATTAGTAAAACCGTTATTTGAAACTGGTCGAAGTTTTGATTTTTCTCAGAGTTTCCCCGGCTACAAATCAGAGGCTTGTCACACCTAATACACAAATAAATTCACAAATAAATACACAAATAAATGCATAAAACACTGTTACCTTTTTCCAGCAAATGCAAAGTCAAAATTCTTGAATTGACAACCTATAAAAAGCGAAATTATCCCTCAACGGGAGATGAAGAGCCGATAACCAGGTGAAAAAATGTTTTGAGAAAGAATGGTGTTAATATTACGTCGACATGAATGCATCGCGAGGACAATTGGTCATCGATTAGTATATTAAACGAGCGTTTTCCATCACAAATTAGCAAAATTTTTTTTTACTGGGTCTTTGTCATTCATAGCTTATAATGAAAAAGGGCTTTGTTTACTCAAGACCTGACTTAAGACAAAGACCATGCAGCTACTTCTTCTTTAGTGATCATTATCTCGTGTTTGGTAGAAAACTGCCGCTCGCTTCCTTTATAGTTTTCTCTGTTTTTCAAACTTTATTTTCTGTTGTTGAAACTTTAAAGTTTAAAGCTGATTTTCAAGATTCGTGCGTAGATCTACGGAACTCATTCAAGAAAATGAATGAATTTAATTTCCTCAATAATTTTTGAGCATATATGGTGCCGGATATAATATACTTTAATCGACAATAGCTTCAGACTGAAAATAAATCGAACGCAACATAAGAATGAGTTTTTAGAAAAACTGTTAATCGAAATTCTGACTCAAAGCTGTGCGGAATCATCCTAAATAAGAGTTTAAGTGCAAATTTTATTCCAGTCTTCTTATTTAAAAACACAGACAAATAATTTTAATCACATAAAATCAGAATTCATTACTTATTTTATGACGATTAACGGTACACTGGTGAGGTAATGAACAGAGTTAAATTTGTCTACTTGTTATTCACCTCGAGATCTCATTTCAAGTCTCACCATAATTTTCAGTATCATGCCACTACTTCTTTTGATTTGAAACACGAATATTTTCAAAAAATCCTCTGAAAATTTTAGTGGTCAGTGTGACGAGAATTACGAAAACCGGCGGAGCTAAATTTTGAATCGGATAAAATCTGGACGAGAGCGTAATATTTGCGGACCTGTGAGTAAAGGTAATTTGAACTAATGATTTTAAAATCCTATTTCTAGATTTTACATAATCGTTCTGTTACACAATGGAGCCCAAATCCCTTTATTATGAGGATTGGCCGCGAAGCACTGGTTGATCTCGGCAGTAATCAGATCCGCTGACATCCTACTGTCTACATGTATACACCTTACACATCCAATATACACCCTATACATCCTGCTGTAGACACGAATATTCAGTAAAATAACAACACGTTGTGTCATTATAATGCACTAAGATTTCATCTCCTAGATTCTATTGGCACCTTAAGTTTTTTCAGTAGTATGAACAAATTGTATTTGTTCAATGGGTGATATCAGGTATTTTTTCACTGCAGCTCTTAAATTTCTTGTTATTTTGCATAACAAGGCAGTGTAGAAGCCTGTTATCATTTTTAGAAAGTACCTGTAGACAATTGCCTCTAAACATTCTTCTCATTCTAATTGAAAGAAATGGCCTTATGTGTTGTCATCACATCAAAACTCAGCCATATCTTGGCTTTGTCGTTGTTCTATGCCTCGTTCACTTGGATTTCATTCAAGGCAATTAACGCAATCACTGAGAACCCGACTAAGAACTTTCTTGAAAACTAAATTAGCCTTTCGGCAGGAGATCATTTCCATAATTTGCAATGCAGTATCAAATATGCACGGGGGCAAAAATTACGGGAGAATATTCCTTTATCTTAAACTTCATGTTTAAAGCTACAAATATTTATCTAAACATTTAGGAGAAAAAAATTAGAAAAACAAGGAGTAAAATGTTTTGAAGGAAGAACTTGATTTTTATCGGCTCAATCTTTACGAATCATTCTTGCCCTTTTCAGCTTTGGTAAAAATTCTCCATGTTTCTTAATTTCATGAAAAGATAATTTCTTGACAATTCAACTGGTATAACATAGCAACAGACATGCAGATTCGAAATGCCACGCGGTCCTGCGGCTGACCAGTGGATAAATTTGTGTTACAAAAGTGGCTAGTAGCTCACTTAGAACTTAAAGATTAATCCCTTGTGTTAGACAAAATTCACTTAAGTCGTACTGAAGCTGTAGGCAAAACAAAACTTTTCCTCTTAACCTAACTGTTAATGGTGTTTCTAATGGCAAACGTTTTGTTTAATTGAAAAAAAAAAATGACAAACCTTTAAGATCTGACTCATCAAGATCCGCTTATTTTCTCTTTCTGAAATTGATTATGATATTCTATCTTCCGGTCCACTTCTTTTAAAACTGAACAGGCCCTATGTACCATCGAAATTTGAAGTCGTTATATTATTGTAGGTTGCTCTAGAAAATTCTTATCGAACAAAAGCCGCTTTAAACTGTTGAAGAAAGTTTATATTAACTTGATTTTTTTTCTTCAGTTCTGAAAAAATCACCGGGGAAACAGTAAAGTTAAAGTAGTTTTCAATTTCTGCTCACAGCAGAGAGGTTAATGTTTATCTTACCTCCAACGGCTCAGAGTTTTGATAAAGAAATCTCAGCAAGTGTTCTTGCTATTAAACTTTCTTTTAAAATGTTCATTTTGCTCCACAACAGACATTACTTAGGCATACTGCAAACATTTACCCTACTCAGAAAATACTTCAAGGTACGATGAAAAGAATAAGATCTTTCAGAGAACTATCAGCTTGATGAAATTTCCAAGAAAAACAATTTTTATGCTAATTCGCGTTAGATTGTGAACTACGAGAGGCAAATTGTCTATACTCTTTGTCTCTTGAGTTAATCAACCAACGCAACTTTGCTTTGAAATTTCAAAATTGAATACAATGAAAAAAGTCTGACCTGAGTGCTGACGCCTTTGTAGAAAACCGACTAAATTGACCTCTTTTCTGACTTTCAGGCGATGCACAGGAAGATGGATCCCAATCAAATTAGCAGTCATAATTTCAAAAAATTTGAGTTGTCGTGTTAGATCACATACCGATGTCTTCAGCGATACCTAAGTCTTTCGATTGACAACGAAGGCAGTGTATATATACACCTTTGAACCGCAAGATTTTGAGAGCGAAAATCGATTAAGTTACCTTGATTGTGGTGGTTGAAAGTGATTTCAAATTGGTCTCCGTTGGAGTTACAAATTCTGAAATATATATCTTGTTTTTACTTGGACTGCCGAATTCCAATCGTTGCTTTGGCTTGTATTAGGCTTCAACAGCCTTGTCTGTCGGAGAGCTGATCATGCTGCAAATCAAGAAATAAGCAGGATTGTTTAAATTAAGGGAGTCACGTACCTTCCATTTGCTTATATGGGCCTTGTAAAGACAACCAACCACTTACTATTAATTCATGTGATTAAATTGAACTCTTTGGATTACATATATAGTTTGTAAATGCAACTGTAATGATGTATTACAAACATAACGATCTTATCAACGGCTGCTATAAACTCAAACCACTTTTAAGCGCCTGGCCTTAAGGAAATTGAATTTGGCCCTTGGAGGACAAATGTGCTAGAGAGTGCTTCAGAAACCATAAACTGTTATCTTCGTAGTTAGAAAAAGGAAACCATTACCTCTAAAACAGCGTTTTCAGATTTCAAAGAGAAACTAAAAAGTCCGAAAATTGTCCTCCGTGGATTTCGCCATCCTGATAGAACTAAGTAACCTAGCTATAAAAACCAAAATTTAACGTGCAGTTCACAAACAGCTGCTGCAAGACTACTTAGGGCAAGAAAAGTAATGAAAAGTAATTGAAATTTCGCCTTAAATGGCTGAACAGATCTTCGAAAGATGGAGAAAAAGAGGCGGGAGAGACTGTCAAGGCACACGTGGGCGGTCAGATTGCGAGAGAGGATTGGAAGTGCCTTAAAATCATCTGAACTCGAGTACTACGCACATTTGAGCAAAATTTTGCAAAGGTTAGGCTACTTATTAGAATCTCGAATACGGTCAGAAGCATTTCAAAGCGGCGGTATGGACTATACGCTTTCTGAAGTATTATCCTTTATTAGATTCGCTCAAGAGTATCCGAGGGGGCCCCTCGTCTTGCTTCCTTTCTTTGCGAAGGTGCATTAGGTTACCTAGGTAGAACTGAATGACGTTTCGTGCAAGTTCAGACAATCTATGCTTGTTCTCAAAAATTCTCAATGTTACTATGCTTGGCACTTCTATTACTTTTGAACATATTTTGTAATAAAGTTCGGCCTTGTATGACGCGCGCTGTCATTGGTTGAAAGAGCATCATGCTCTATCAGAGTACAAAGCAAAGAGCTGGGCTAAAGCTGTCACGCCATCTGCCGATTTGTTCTATGTCCTATCTTTCACGGACTTCTCTCTAGCTTTTTTCGTTACTTAAGAGTGAAATCTCGAAATAAGCGAGCTGACAAGTAGCAACAGATGAACCAGACAAAAGTTTGTGAACATGCCAAGCGCCGTAATTTACGTTATTTTAACTTGAGCAGAGACGAAAATCAGTCCGAGTTGTGAAGGTTTTCACGCTCAGTTATATTTGCAAGCTCACGTACGGTTATTAAAAACCAAACACAGCTAACACTTGTATAGTATATATAGTTTCGTGTTAAAAAGAAAAAACCAAACAGAACAAAACATAAATTATGAGAAATATGAAAATTCATACTAATCATGACGATGTCAAAGCGACTGCGATCACATGCTGAGGTCCATCGCGGCCAGCTCATCATAGCGATCTCCGGTCATCGCAGTGAAGCAAGCCTAAGAAATTAAATCTGCCGCCCTTCTAGTAAACAAGTAACGGCTTGCTCTGATATCCTATCCGATGCTTGGAGTGGAAGGCCACATGAGTCACAACAGCCGAGTTTTACGATGCTATCATTCCGAGCAATCGTCATGCTCCTGTGAATTCGGCTGTCGTTTATTCATAAAACATATATGTTTTATGAATGAACGACAGCCATGAGCAGTTTGTTCCCGAATTGGCATGAGAGAAATCTTGCGTGTTTTTATGAGCCACAATTTGGCCGGATTTCACTAAATATTTTACTTTCAGATTCTGCATTAGTCTGAAAAACTTCAAGAAAAAAAGTGTTAATTTGACCTTCCGAACTATTTCAGTTTGTACACCACTGCAGATTATGAACTTTGATGGTTTGACATTTTTTACGGCTTTTGTCTTGTTTAACCAATCAGATTATTTAAACCATTTAACAAGGATTCTGATTGGCTTATTGTAGCGTGCTTCATGAGAGTATAGAGCATGCTAACGACGCTGCATGTTGTTCGCTTCGGAAATAAATTTTGTTTTCAAAATTGAAAAAAGTACGTGGGAAATCAGTTAACGGATTATTCACTCTAAAACAAATAGAAAAGCCTTTACTATGCTCTGTTCTGCTATAAAGCACTTTTAACGCTGACTTTAGCAAAAGAAACTGAAAGAAAATGGAGAAATTCTTCAAGTAGAACTGAGCCACGGATGATGTGTCGCTATTCACATCTATAAGTTTGAAACACCTCAACTCAACCACAGCTTTGCCTGATGCTTCCCTTCCAAAACTCTTTCTTGGTTGGAAAAAGTTATGATCAAGCCCGGCTTGTATCTCTCACTGATTAAATTACCAAGCGATTAAATATTTTCACACTGACCAAATTCCATATTTCTAAGGAATAGCTGCCCTTGCATTTCTTTTGAACCGGAACCAAAATAAAAATCAAATATGGAAGAAAACGTGAGCCCTTTCCTTTCTCGCTACAAAGTACGGTCTCTTCTGTAAATGGGGCGCTTTGTGGAGTTCTAAAAAAGAATATATTTGCACACGTATTTTGCATTATTTCCAAAAGGCTGTTAACCATAGTGCTTAGCATTACCCCTGATTCACGGGTAACGTGTTTTTTTTTTTTCGAGATATCAGTTGACATTAGTTTGTGAAATAGATAGACTCTAGTGACATTGGCTCCTCTCTCTACAAAACACACAATTAGTATTCTGCAGCATGTCAGAGGACAATAAAACTATGTAATCAAACCATTTTATTCTGATTTGTGAGCGGAACGTTGATAATTACTGTTGAGTCTGATAACTTAAGTGTTTACTAAGATTACACTTAGCTAAGAGCATTGTCGGGGATTTTGTGTCAAAAATGATAATTGATGTTTCTTGTGTGTTGAACGGTGGAACTAGCCAATGGCACTTCTCATTTGAAGCTACATCAGCGTTTTTTTACCTTATCTGGGATCAACTGAGTTTGAGAGCGAATCGGCCAAAGTGACCTAAAAGAAGCGCAAACTGTATACATTCAACCTTTATTTATACACGATGAAAATCAAAGCTACTAGCCAGTGGGGTGGTGTAAAAAACTGAAAACTGATGGAAACTATCAAATATTCACAAACTTAAAACTAAGTTCAAAGAATGTTGACAGTTATATTAGTAAATGAATTGTAATATCATTCAATGGTATTTAAAATTCTTAAGTCTGTGGGTCACTGTTTGAGGGGTTTGAAGATTAAACTTAAACCCCCAAAGTATCGCTCTTCGTCATGTTCCTCATAAAAGAACCGACGTCCAGCAGTCAAAAACGGATCCACTTAATCGACTTGCTGCGTTCCAGAGGACAGTGCCTTCGTAATAAAAAGCAAAACAGATTGACGTCAGCATGCAACCCACGGGAAAATTGATCGAGCGAACACAGTGGTCAAACGCTGTGCATGCACAAGAGTTTGAAAACATTAAGAGGGGTTTACGAACGCATGTCTAGCGTAAAGTAAGGGGGAAAGGGTTATATTTCCAGTGCGTAAGGCAATGAAAGAACGATTCTGGAGTGAAATTAAACCTTTGCTATATTTTTTTTGTGAGGTATCCCAACTGTTAATGCGGAGGCTTCGTTTCGGTTATGAAGGCAAATGACAGAACTTTTCTTCTACCCTTGCTGCACATTTTACTGTCTGCGATAAATATAGTCCTGCTTTCGCGTGGCTCTGGTACTTCCTTTTTTCACACATTTCCATCGGTGTTTGTCGGCAGCTCTACCATGAACACAACAAAGAATAACTAATAACAGCACGGCCAACCTTACGGACGAATTCATCACACCGCCGCGCAGAGTGTAAAAACAAAGTACGAGAGTGTAAATTAGCACAAAGTGGGTAAAGTCTAAAACAACAACGTATATAAGTCTCGGCCTTAGAAACTTCGACCTTTCCTCAGAAACATACCCATCCAAGTGCGGATGTGCAATCATATGACGCTGTGTTGATCGAGCGTATTAGCCAATCAGAGACCGCGCTTTTTAAAGCTACGTTATAAAGAAGTTTTAGTCATTGCAATAATTTACAACGGTGGATCTTCGATTGTTAAACCCTCGTCTCGTCACGCATTTCAAATCTGCAAGAGGATTTGGAAGAAGTCTGTTTTGTGACTCTGATGACTCTTTCACCCTCTATTTGAGACATTTGATAATGAGTGTAAACGCAATTGAGGGATATCCTTGACTCATTTGAGTTTTCGCAAAACTTTTTCCAACAACACGCGACCAGTCGGGTAAACGATTTACCTCGAACAGTTCTAAAGATGAACGGATTCAAAGCACTGTTTAAGTACATCAAGATATTGCTGAATACCAATGCATACTCAAAGTGTGCGTTCTGTTGACCCTGAGCAAAATCGTGCCAAATCCATACCAAATGCGTGGGTAACATGCACACAAAAAGAGAGAAAACAACGATGATAAACATCTTTGTAACTTTAAGTTTTTGAATTGTGCGCTTCCTGATGAAGTCCCTCTTTGATCTGTTGGTCCCTTCCAGCATATCATTGAGCTTTGCAAGTTCCATTCGCACTCTTCTCCCCGTCATGAAGTAAGAGGTGGCGATGACAACCATCGGAATGGCGAAAAAGACGGTAAAGTTTGTCAGCGTGAAAATTTGAACATGCCAATGTTCGGGCCACATTTCCAAGCACTGATCCCCATCAAGCCTTAGCACGAGAGCATGGGGAATAATAAACAAAATAGGAACGATCCACGAGACAAAAATTGCGATCTTTGCCTTTATCGGATGAAATCGTGGTAGAAGGAAGGGTTTCATTACCATGTGCCGACGTTCCAGACTTATGAAAAGAAGTGTGATCACTGAGACTGCCATGAGGATTGTTTGCAACGGATACACAACAGAACACATGATCGAACCGAAAGGGAATCCTCCTAAGAGACGTTCTGTCAAGTCAAAGGTTATGCTCACGGCACATGTTGCTAAGTCAGTAAGAGCTAAGTTCAGAATGAGATATTCAGTAACCCTTAAATAATGACGGCCCAGCAACGTGTAAAAAACCATAATGTTTGCTGTTGTTCCAATCACAGAAATAGTGAAATACAAAACAATTTCGATGATTTGAATGGCAGACAACTGAGATAAACTTTCACTGGTATGGTCAGTGGCATTATGGCTGGGAAAACGTTCTTCCATTTTGAGGAATGCGATGATCTTCAGTCGGCGAGTTTTCCAAGAGAAATGTCTTTTGCTTGCCTGCAGAATACATAAACAGGAATATTACTGAAGGGCATGAAAATAATTTTGAAATTCGTATAAATTCGTATAATTCGTACATTTAAAAATATACATAGCTTGAATTTTGGAAATTCAATACTCTCAAACTTCCAGAGTTTAGGCAGGAGAGTAACTGGCAATTTTCGAGTTAAAGCTAAAAAGAAAAGCAGGATACTGTTATTTCCAGTACAAAATACCTTTTTTAAGGGGCAGGTCGCCTCAGCTCTTGATCGATTCCTGTAAATAACATTCTGGGTTAAAAAAAACCGTGAAAACTGCTGAGAAATACTGGTTCAGGCTGCCCCAAAGAGCTCGCCCAAGAGCATTGCAGCTGGCATAAATTTCTTGATGGAAGGTTCCCTCAAGATGGCTATCACCAGAACTCCTGCTAACACCAAATTCTGCTCTCAGCAAGTGTGCACCCGGGGTTCAGTGGTCTAATTACAGGGGTGTGGGGTGTGTCACAAACCAGTGTGCATAAGAGGCCTCTAGTCTTAAGGGGAGTGCGCGGATCTATTTTTGCTTTTCCTGCAATGATTGACAGTAACAGCACTGCGTTAATGTTTAAACTTGACTGAATTTCACTCGAGCTATTAGGCAATTTTACTTTTATGCATTGCCTTCTTGCCTGTGGCAAAGCTCCAGCGATTTTTTTTTTCCAAGGAAAATTGAAAGAGGCTAATGGGAAATAGCTTTTAGTGAAGTTAATTTTCCAGAAAAAAGCGGAAGATTTCCATTTTGTCACTTAAAGATAGACGTCATTGTCCACTGGAAGCTGGTGCATTCAAGAATTTAAGAGCCTGGCGAGACTTTGGTTTTCCCCAACGAATGGAAGCGTTAAATTGGCATATAGGAGTTGAGGTTCTCGAAAATCCGACAAGATAATATTCCTATGTATATTTCCCAACAGAGATACTATGTTGAAGTACTTAGAACTGCTAATGGTACAAACGTGAAAACGCTGGACTCGAATTTCAATAAGAGTAGGAATGATATTAGATGATTTATGGCTGATAATGTTTTTCCTAACTCTAGTAAAGATGTGTCAGTGTTATGCCAGGCACCCTGTAAAGTTTCCAACCTCTCTGCTGCTCAGCCCATCCACAAATTCAATTTTAACTTTACTTTGCAGGGGAAATGAAATGGAAACTTCCCATTTCATGTATCTTTCAAGTGGCTAACTTCGATATTATGATAATTTTTTAAATTCTTCAAATAGTGTAACAAAGCCATAGGCCATTTAGCCTTGAAAGATTAATCCATTTCGTCAGATAAAGGCACTTTAGTTGTACTGAGCCCGCAGGCAAAAATTGAAACCAGACCTCTTAGGTGAACTGCTAATGGGGATCTCGTTTGGCAATCTTTTGGTTAATAAGAAACCAAGCAATGAATCTTTAAGATCTGACTCATCAAGATCCACCCCTTCTTTCTACTTGAAATCGTTTATGATAAAAGTTTTTCTTCCGGTCCATCGTTTCCAGCTGAGAATTTCTGCAATGACATTTTCTTTTGGACAAAAATACTTGATGCAATTTCCAATTTCTGCTCACAGAAGTATGATAAATATTTACTCTACCTCCAGTTGTTTGGAGTTATGATAAGGAAATCTCAGCCAACGTTTTAGATGTTAAGCTTTGACTAAAATGTTAATTTTGCTTTACAGCATACATTCCTCGAGTACGTTATAGACATTTACCTCACTTAGAAATAATTTTGGTTGCGATCATTGGGAAGAATGCCTATTGTTCTCTTGACATAAGGAAAGGACCTTTCAGAAAACTCTCAGCTTAATGAAATTTGCCAAGAAAAGCTACGTCTATGCTAGTTCACATAGGATTTCAAATTATGAGTGGCAAATTGTCTACTATCTTTTTTTCTTTAGGTTTGTCAGCTAACGCATCTTTGCTTTGAAAATGCAAAATGATAAAAAGATGACTCAGCTGCTGGCGAAGTGAAATAAAGATCGATTGTTTTTTGAATCGCTGGATTCAAATCAAATTAGCTGTCACTAATTCGCCAACCCTTAAATTATCGTATCTGATCACATAATTTGTTTTCCAAAAATACTGACGTCTTCCTCTATCCCTTAAACTTCCACATGACGACAAAGAAAATGTACCGAGATAACTTAAACTAAAATGTTGAGAACGAACAACGGTAAAGTTACCTTCACTAAGGCGGTTGAAAATATTGTCAAACTGATGGTATACTGCTAAAGCAAATACCGTGACTCCCTGATTTTACTTGGTTTGCCGAGTTCCAGTCGTTGCTTTGCCTTGTATCAAGGTTCATTTCACAAATAGCTATTTCTGTGGAGAGCTAATTAAGACGCAAATCAACGAGTGGGCAGGATTGTTTTAATTAGGCAAGCCGTGTTCCTTTCCATTTTGTTAATGTAGACCGCGTAGAAATATCAAAGCGACTTTTGATAAATTGTGCGATTGAATTGAACTTTTTCCCAAAATGAAACACAGCTCTTTTTTTATGCTTTAATTATGATTTTTTTTTAAATGAAATGTAATTTCTAAAGACAACATTGTAATAATTTATTAATGGATGGGCACAAAATACCATGTTAACGGCTGGTAAAAGTTGAAACCTCTTTTAAGCGCCTGTTATCGTGGTAATAAAAGTTTGCCCTTGAATAACAAATGTGTTCCATATAGTTTTCATCTCGGAAGGAAAATATCAATTTACTACTTAAGGCCTTTTGAGTTCTCCAAGCGAAACGTAAGCCTCCTAAGAATTGTCCTTAATGGACGTCGCCATTTTGAAACAACTTATCAACTTGGCCGCACACACAACTACAACCGGCAGTTAAAAAAAAACAGCTGCTGCGAAAGAGGTTGTTGGAGAAAAAATTGTCTGTTTCGTCGAGAATTGATTCAACAATGTAGCCTTAAATCATAGTCAAACAGATCTCTTAGAGGCAGAGGAAAATAGAGAGACTATTTTTAAGTCGCTTTTAAGCGATTAGGTTGCTAAACTAGATTCGCAATGGCTGGATCCGAAGTCGAATTTTAAGCACATTTGAAGACAATTCTAGAAAGGTCTCATTACTCTTTGGAATCTCAAAATTTGGCCAGAACCATGCACAGTTTTCAAGCCTACAATTTTTTTCATAAGCTTTCCAAAGCTTACTTCTTTATTAGCTTCTTTCAGAAGTAAAGGCGGGGCACCCTTATTTGGTCTTGTTTTTCCGTCAGTACAATGTTTACAACCAGACCAGCAATTTCAAAGTTGAAAACTGATTTTTTAAGGATTTTTTCCGGTTCCCATCGTAGAGAAGGTGCCTTTTTCATTATTTCTAATAAATAAACACGTGAACTGAATATCTCAGAATCTCATAAGTAATGAAATATTCAATTTAAATTCGGATGCAGTAATTCGTTCTGAGCTACTCTGGGGTTAAATACAATTGTATCACTGACACGGCCGTTTTCCCAGAAGTGTTCTCTTGTGGATAAAAGAGAATATACGGCGATAGTTTTGCATCTAAACGGATTAATTGTTGTCAATTTCTTCTCAACCATGAGCTTTAATAAGGTTTTTAAGAAATCGGGAATCAAACTCATAGCCTTGGCTGCCCGTTGATGTCAGCACAGATGGTCCTTTCTTGGGGTTTTTTTGACTCATGTCCGCCACAAGAGTGAGCCTTACCTAGAGCAAAATTATGGCATTAAAAGAGATATTGTATAATTTCTCCCTGAGAAAGTGCATTCGATCATGATATGAGAACATGGCATACACGGGTCAGATGATTGTGCAGCGCAGAACTGGCGTGCTCGATATAGATGCACCGAGATAAAGTGGGTGTGATCTGCAATCAGTCGACAACTGTGGGTCCTCGATAGTTAAACACTCGTCTCGTAACACACTTCAAATATGTCAAAGACGTCAGATGATCTAGAGATAGACTGTCTTGTGACTCTGATGGCTCTTTCACGTTCCACCTGAGACATTTGGTGATGAATGTAAATACAGCGAGGGAATATCCATGAATCGCGTGAGTTCGCACCAAACTTTTTGCAACAACACGTGACCAGTCGGGTAAACGATTTACCTCGAACACTCCTAAAGATGAACGGATTCAAAGCACTGTTTAAATACATTGCAATATTGCTGAAGGTTAATAAATCCTGAAAGTGTGTGTTTTGTTCACCCTGTGCAAAATCGTGCCAAATCCATACCAAGTGCGTGGGCAACATGCACACAAAAAACGTAACAACAACGATGATAAACATCTTCGTAACTTTGAGCTTTTGAATCGTGCGCTTTCTGATGTAGTCCTTCTTTGATCTGTTGGTCCCTTCCAGCATATCATTGAGCTTCCTAAGTTCCAATCGTACTCTTCTCCCCGCCCTGAAGTAAGAAGTAGCGATTACAACGATAGGGATGACGAAAAAGATCGTAAAGTTTGTTAGTGTGAAAACTCGAACATGCCAATTCTCTGGCCATTTTTCCAAGCAGTGTTCTCCATCAAGCCTCAGTACAAGTGCGTAGGGAATTATCACCAAAATGGGAGCGATCCACGAGACACAAACTGCGATCTTTGCCTTTCTCGGAAGAACTCTTGGGCGAAGGAAGGGTTTCATTACTATGCGCTGACGTTCTAAACTCATTGAGAGAAGTGTGATCACCGAGACCGCCATGAGGACCGTCTGCAACGGATACACCACGTAGCACATGATCGACCCGAACGGGAATCCTCCAATGAGACGCTCTGTCAAGTCAAAAGGTATGCTGACAGCACATGTTGCCATGTCAGTCAGAGCCAAGTTCAGTATGAGATATTCACCAACCCTAAGACTATGACGGCTCAACAATGAGTGAAAAATCATACTGTTTCCTGTTATTCCAACCACAGATATAGTGAAATACAGAACGACTTCAACGATTCGTATGGCAGGCAGCTGTGATGAGCTTTCTCTGGTATGGTCAGTGACGTTATTGCTTGCAAACGTTTCTTCCATTTTCAGGAAAATGATTATCCTCAGCCTGTAAGTTTTCCAAGAGAAATGCCTTTTGTCTGTGGGCAGAATGCATAAACCAGAATATCACTTTTAGGACATAAAAAGAGTTTAATATAAAGCAGTGCAGACTCTATGCTACAATACTTTGAATTGCTAATGGTGAAAAAGAAAAAAAAACCGATCAGTGTTTGAATCAAGAGTAACAGGGATATACCAAGGAAATATTGCAACTACGTTTTCTCCCAACTTCAGTAAAAGATTGGTCAGTATTAATAGCCATACACCTTAAAAGTTTCCAACCTCTCTATACCATGTTGTAGTGATATCACATTTTAACTTTCCTCTATCGAGGATATAAATCACTTGGCTTAGAATTTAGCCGGGTTTTCAAAAAGCTAAAACAGGAACAATTTGATCTTTCAGCTGGAGGAGATTGCTACTTCTGTTTGCCTCAGGGTTTCCCTAGAAATGCAGCATAAACGTCTAGCATATTCGTTACGCTAGAGTACTGAGCTGCGAATAAATTTCAAGAAACAGATATCACCTGCAAATGAGAAGACAAATACTAAAAGTAGTAAATGTTTCTCGGTTGATTGCGCAGAATACTTGAATAACATCTCGGATTACCGAGGTACAGACAGTAAAAAAGGGAAGTTTTGTTAAATTGATGGCAGCAACAATATATCTGCCATCATTTATAATGAGACAGGAGCTATGACAGAAACTCTAGCTCTTCACTTCCACATTCTAGTTCCTTTTAAAAAAAAATTTAATTCTAATCAGGTGTCCTCTTATAATATCAAGTTTCCGTCTCAAATAACGAAAAAAGCGTTCAACCTTCTTTACTTTGCTCAAAGCATACTTTTTTTTTACATCAAACGTATCTTATTCAAATATGATGAAAACGAAAAAACGAAAACCAAATTTCAGCGTTATACTTTACAGATACCACAGTGAAAAAGTTTACCTGCATCAATTATAAGGGAAGGATGAGGAACCAATTGCCATACAAAATAATGATATTGTGATAATTTTTTTTTGCATATGTCCGAGTTGAAATCATTGCAACGCAGCCAGAGTATCTGAACAAATTTTCAAAAAGCGAGAACAATTTCCGAACATGACAACATTTTTCTTCGTTTTAAGTTATTTTACAGCATTGTTTATATAAATATTTCTGAAATTAAGAGGCACTTGCTCAATACTAAACAATGTACGATTCTAGATGGCTGCAACATTTCTAGAGAAAGTCACGGAGAAAGTCTGGAGAAAGTCACTGTGTTAATTTCCCACACGAACATTGAAAAATAGCCTGGTAGGCAACTGAGGCGTGCAGTCATTTCGGTTGCAAAATGCCGGATCATACTTAAGAAATTTATTTTACTTTAGAGTTTTCAAGATAGGTAGCTTAAACATGCATTATATTTGTGATTATAAGAAATTTCAATATTGTTACCAATAAGGGCACGAATCAGCGATAAAAATAAAACATCCAGAGAACCACTCAGTTCGAATTTTTAGTCTGCAGAAAAATCATCAATTCACTGTTTGAAATCGCACTGACCTTTATTCTTGAATCCAGTCTGTAATAAGGATTCTTAGTAAACCACTAAGGATGCAAAATACCTAATGTGGTTTAAAATATTCCCAGGTATGTTTTCGTAGTCTTGAAACATCCTCCGCTTGTAAATCACTGCCTGCGTTTTCTAGTTACTCTTTCTAGATGTTTCTTCTGAAAGCAGACGCAAGCTTTCTGCGTCGATCACTGAAATTCGTGCGATATGTCAAGTGATGGATCAATTCGCCTTAGTAATTGTCGAGCGCTATCTGTTGAGATCGAATTGCAAAGTAGAAATGACCTCCTGCGCTTCCGTCAATTTATCACCGTGTCAGGGATACCTTACTGTTTCATTGGGCAAAAAAAAAACAAATTACATTCAAGGGATCGCTAAGTGTTACTAATTGTCGTTTCTGGTCGATTCACTTTTATTTCGTTTTGTGAGTGACTGTGCTTGACTGGAGCCTCAGGGTGACGTTTTGTTTGAACGCGTTTTATGAAGTTTTGTGACTGCCGCACGACCACGCCCTTCTTAAAATGTTGGGCAGTATATCATTAAGATTATGCAACTGGATTACACAACTACTCTGGTTTTTTTTGGATCGGCGGGCCGCGATCTTTCCCCTAAATGATAATAAAAAGCCGTTAAACGGTGAAACGATTTTTGTGTGGGTTCACTTACATTTTTTGACCCACGCATCCACAGTAAAGTGACCGTGCATGGAAATATCTCAGGACCACCATGGGAGATGACGATTCTCCCCATATCTCTCTGTTGAATATTTGTCAGTGTCTGACTTCAGATATCACTAGTCATCGTCCATACGTCCGTCAGTCTATCGGTATCCTTCATACTAGCCCATCTTGTACCTCCATTCTATCCCGTATTAAGCCCCGTTAACCATTGACATTGACAACTTACAATATTGCTGCTAACGTTTCTTGTCAAAAGGGAAGCGATTTTCCTCCACAGTGCTTTCGTTGACTTTGTAAAAATGCCTGTTGCATGAAATCTACCGATATTTCAGTCAAGTTTCCACCAAATTTTATCTGCTGGCCGTTTGTTTTCTCAGATGGAGAGAAGCGAAGAGAAAGCAATCTTTCTTACAGCAGGGTATAAGAAATTGAATGAATGAAAGACAGTTTGGTTGCTGTTTGTAAGTCTATCTGTCTCGTCTGTCAGTGTCTCTCAGAAACGACAGAGTCAGAATAAATATGTGGAAAGGCTCAAGGGGCAATAGATCACTGATATACTGGGGGCAACCTTAGAAGTCTTAACATTCAGGAAAAATTATGTTCAGCGTCTCAAATTGACGAGACTTGAAAATGTGCTATAAGATAGCTGAAGAGGTATAAAATGATCATTCCCATTAATGCAGCTTGATATATTTTAATGGAGCCAATTGACTCATTTGCAAACCTTTAGCTTGTTAACGCACTCTATACCAACTTTAGGTATTACAAATTACAAACATTTTTATCAACAAGGCCAAAAGAACTTAGAGGCAATGCTCACAGAGTACAGAAGCTATTTCCTGCTCTTACCAACATTTCTTAAACGCTAAAAGCTTGTTTAGTATTCAAAAGAACACTTCATAACATCACTATTCAAAGGCTTTGTCTTCAAAACACACAATTTTCAGATGTATCTATAATTTTGAAAGAGCAGAAATGTATTAAAATAACTCAATTCATAGCTACATCAACATCTACCAAATCTGGTGTGTATTTCAGTCCCAGTATTCTACCATCCTGCAAATTTCTCTCTTATAACCAGTACACCTTTCTATAGTATGTGCCGATCTATTCAAAGTTTCAACATTCCCCCTCCTCTCTCCCCCCCCCCCCCCCCCCCCCCCCCCCCAACCATGATGCATTTGACTGGCATTTGCACCCAGAGAAGTGGGGAAGTGGGGAATTTAAACCTTGCCTGGGTGGGGTGGAGAATTTGAAGCATTGCAAAGATAATGCAGAGGTCTTGAATTCTGTGTAGGGACAAAGAGAAATTATTAATAATTAGAATATCATTTTAACATCATCACCATTATCATCATTGTCATTAACATTATTACTACATGCATAGTGGATTTACTTTTTCAGGTGTTTAAAGGTAAAGAGTTAATTTTGGTGAATAGATGGCCTTTTACAAAAAAAGAATTGATCATCAAATCCAGCACTTGGGTGCAGCATTTGAACACTATTTTTGCCTCTATTTCATGGGATTTCCTGAAACAGCTCTTTTCCTTGCTTATGTCCAAAAAAATTAAAAAGTGGTCCAGTATGTACAATGAACATGTACCATAGGGGTATTTCTTTTCATAGCAAAGTTATTAATTCTAGTAACATTTATAAAGCCCATGAGCACTCTTCACACTTTCCACTCCTTAAATTTTGCCTGAGAAAGCTCCACCATTATTTACATACACACCCATATTTCAAGAAAACATAAAATCTGTACTTCACAACACCAGAATTTCTCCATAAACAGAAGAGTGGTTCATTAGCGATGAAATATTTATGAATGACTGGGTTGTTATAACTTTTTTCTTCCTTGCTTTAACATCCAGATTCCTTATTTTGAAGGCTGTAAAAGTAATCAGTGAGTCCTTGCAAATTCTTGTCTTAACCATTGAGAGTCCTTATAGAATCTTGGATCTCCTAGTCGCAAGGCTGTTCTCTTGTAGAAGTAGTAATATAAAACAGCTCCTGAAGGAAAGAAACATAAATTAATAAAATTGAAGCCTAACAAAAGTTTATGATACCATTTTTCATCTTGAGTGTTCTATGCGGTGCTCGTAAACATGTATATCGAGTCTTCTTCCCTTTCAAACATCTATGATATAACCACACTCAGAGCTGCAATCTTTTTTTTAGCTCACCACTACACTTTAATATCATAATGATGACAACTTGTAAGTATTTACTTAAGATATTTCTCTCAACTAAAGAAAAAGTGGTTGATGAAAAAAAATTTCACAAAACCTTAAAACACTTACCCACTCTTTGAAAAACAAAAAGTGCTTGGAAAGCTTCATTCCAAATAAATGCCTGGGGAGCACCCCATTTTAATGTCTAAAAAGCAAGGTTAAAAAAAAGGCAACCAGTTTATAAATAAACTGTTAATAATTCTAGGACCCCTGTCAATCTACACTTCTAGGTAACAAAGTGTGCAGACAACCTAAGGTATTTGTATCGGATTTCTTATACATTCCTCACGGTTCAAATTTTTAGTTTGTATGGGGTGGTAGCAGAATTCAAATGATGTTGAGTTGTGTTCTTGGTACATGAAAAGCAAATTTGCTAACATGTTAACCACACAGAGATCTATGCTGTGTACATTTAGACTTGCATTACAAGCGTACACATGAACTTTACATGGGTAAGTGTAGCGTAACCCCTCCACCCTGCACTGTATGTAATTCAAACAGCCTTGGAAAACTCTTTCAAAGTAGAGGCTCACTTAGCAATTATCTACATGTAATTTTTAGCTGCTGATAAAATAATTTCCACCACAGAGATGCAAGTGTCTAGTGATGTAACACCTAACATCAACTTTTTCAAAACTACAACCTGAAGCTTACCATAGTCCATACATGTAGCCCCACTGATAGTGCTAAGTATAATATAGAGATAATAATAGTTGTCTTGAATTTTCTGATTAGTAGGGACACCAATCCAGCTTGGAAAATGTATGTGTTGAAAAATACCAAAAATACCACAATAATTGCAAAGATAATGCAGAGGTCTTGAATTCTGTGCAGGGACAAAGAGAAATTATTATTAATTAGAATGTCATTTTAACATCATCACCATTATCATCATTGTCATTCACATTACTGCTACATGCATGGTAAATTTACTTCTAAAGCTGGTAATACAATGACAATAATAATGATAATTCATTTTTAACTATAACGTGGTTTGAAAATCTGATTATTTCTATAAACATTTATATCTCAGTAATTTGTGTCCTCTGCAAAGATGCATAAATATGAGAGACTATACCAATCAAAGCTGTTGAATACCAGCCAATCACAGCTGAACAGTAGTTCAGAGGGTAACATGTCTACAGTTGACCTTATCACCTGAATAAAAGTAGCTGTGAGCAGTCAAAACATTTGGGATTCACATCTTAAGTGTCTACATTATGACACAAATGATCATATTTCATTGCATGAGAGGCGGCTCTTTTTGTTTTTTTTTAATCTTTGTATCTTGTTAAAGGTAAAATGGTACATGTCATATTTTGATCTCCATACACTATACAACACGCTAACCTTAAAGTTATCAATAAGACTTGATCAGAAGCATATATGTTTGCACAATATAAATTCTTCATTCTTCCATGGATTTGCAAAGCAACCTTATCAGGGTTAATAAATCTGAGTATTTCCTAACCTATGCAACATAATACAACAGGCAAATATGGGATCACAACACCAGGAGTTTTTTTTCCCCCACTTCAAGCAATAGAACTGAAAGAGCGGATTCATTAGTGTCCTCTGCTGAGAGTAGCTCTTTAGTAAGCCCAACAAATTTTTCAAACATGACAGTGTGGCCATAAATAGAGGCTTAAGAGTCATAAAGAAGTTTAGTAAAATTGCTCAGGTGATTAAAGAGATGCATGCAGTCTAACTAATCGAGGATTGCATCAATCTGTCAGTAATCACCCTACCCAAGGTGATTATAGAAAGGGTGTGTATCGGATTGAACTGGCGGCAATAGGCTATAGGTTAGAAATGTTAATCCTCTTTAATACTTGCACATGGACATTGACAAGACTGCTGAATATCATCTAAAATTTATTCAGTTTTTACCTCAACCTTGTAATTTATAAACAGACCCCATGATTGATGAGCCAGACCGTGCATCTCTGTTCTTTGATACCCAACAAGTTGGAAGCAAAGAAACAATATAGAATTTATCAGTTTGTCTCGATAATCACCTGAACAATTGTACTAAAATAATTATTTGCCTCAGGCTCAGTGAACATTGTGAACTAATCCTGAAAAGATTTAGTCCAGCATGCCAATCTGTTGGATTAACTCTGAAATCAGACACTAAATGCAAAATTTATTTCTTCCTCCTGTGAAGTTTCAGAGGGTTAAATTTGTAAAAGGATACTAAAAATAATTTTAGTGACAGATGAATAAGGTGTTATTGTTTAAACATCTTTACCTTCAAGCTATTTTCAATTCCCAAGTATCTATTTCTATACCAAATAACAGTGTGACATACAAACTAAGGTATTAAAAGTAAGACTTACATCATTTAGCAAAATAAGCTAAGAAAGGTGAGACTCTTAGGAACAAAAGACCTGGCCCCAGTTGTGCGAAGGTCAGATAATGCTACCCACTAGATAAATCTCTATATGGTGGATAACGCTATACGTTTTGCTATTACTTATCCGCTGAATAGTGATTTATCCACTGGATAGCATTATCCGCCCTTTATACAACTGAGCCCGGTCCACTAAAATTTTCTCTTGATATAGTATATAGACAAAAATGTTCTTAGTTAAGATTCAAATGACAGTTAGAAGCATCCCCTGTGAACTGATGAAAAACAGAATAATAACTTCTTAAGGTGTTGATGAAATCAGAGGAAGGCAGATCAAAACAGGTGAGCATATGGATGACGCTATGCACATTCTCACACAAAGCTGGATAAGAAAAATCATAGTACTCTGATCCATCTCAGATGAAAATAAACCTAAAAAGTGATACAGCCTGTCAGACGAACACACGTGACCACAACATACGCTAGCGTGATTTGAAACAGCGATTTCGATAAAATGGTCAAATTTATAAATTCTCACCTGGAGTCAATCAATTTTGTACAATTCTAGTGGCGATACTATCGTCTATGAATATTTACAAGTTCCTATCCGTTTCTCGCAAAAGTTTTGGCATTTTCGCTTTTTTCCCTCAATCTTGAAGCTGTTGATCTGACAATGCCACTTTCTGATAAAGTAATTGAACAGTAATCTGTTTGCACGTCGATCAAAAGTTAAAAAAATGCTGCAAATGATCTCAACACAACATGCATAAATATTTTACTTTCACACAATGTGCACGCCTCCATGACCACACGAGAAGTTGAATGCACGCTTGTTCATAAAGTGGAACAGAATCAGACGTTTTGTTTCCAGAAATAACCGAAAAAGTTGAAGGAAATTTACAAGTGACGCATCGGATAACATCCAGAAGTTGTCACAATTCATTCGTAAAAACATGTACAGTCGACTTTTAAATAACCATAACTGAATGTGGTTTTCAAGGGCACCACATAGCCTCAAAACTACAAATCACTGTTTAAATATTTTGAATAGATATTTAGGTAAACTAACCCAAGTAAAAAGTTCTCTCAAGAAAAACAATACTAATAACCATCGACTCAAGAGGGAAAACAATTTTTTATGAGTCGGAAATGCCCGCCGAAACACCCGTAGAGAAAGTTTACTCGATAGTGGTGAGTTACTCACATGTACAACACAAGAAGGACGACGTCTGCAGTTCGGAAGAGCTCTCCAAACGAATTAATGAACAAATCTACGAAAAGGAACAAAAGTTGCAGGTAAACTACGAAGCAAAATCTTGAAACTTTCATCCTTTGTCAACCATGTTTGTTTGACAACATTGAATGAATCCGCTGACAGAGGCGGTAGGCGAACTGGTAACTAAAGGCGGGAAACGCCTTGAAGAAATCATGCGACTGTGTGTTTGAGTACAGAACCCAGTTAGTGCCATCACGTATTTCTAATCAACTCTTTTTTTTTTGTTTTTTGTCTTTTTTTCACGACATTAACTTTCCTGCCAGACTTCAGCTTTCCTGCACGGCTTTAACATTCCGGTGCAACTTTAGTTTTCTGACGTACACGACATTAATTTTCCGACACGACTTATTATGCCACGACCTTTAACTTTTTCTACCGGAAGACTCAACGCAAGAATCAACGCTGCAGGTCACCGCCAGCCGATTGCAATGTGCTTACTGTAACACTGTTTGGTAAAAATTATGAATAAATTTGCAACTGGGCAAAGCTAAATTAGATAAGTTTTCTCCATCAAATTATGCTTAGTGTGCTTGTCTTGCACTCAATTGCTAAAAAATAAATCAGTTTTCAATTGAGGATAGAATATTTGCGTTGACTTGAGTTAGACTTGTTCTCTGTATCGCCAATGTACTGAGAAGAAATAAAGTCAGAGTTAAAGAGAACTAAAGGCATCAAAATTAACCGAATATCAACGCGAAAAGCTAATTACTGCGACGGAAGATTTAACCGCCGTCCAAGAACTCGTGGTTGCAGTTAAATCAAGAATTGAAGACTTTCTTCCGTGGATGGCTTCACGTTACAAGTTAACCTTTTATCATGTGGTTTTTTTGAAAATTTTCTTTTTTTGGTGGAAAAATTGAAATCACTTTAATTAACACTTGTTGTAGAGAGATGAAGCATTATAGGTACTTACAACTGTACGACGTCATCATAATGATACTAATTTGATATTGTTTAACATTTCTGATTGTAGAACATGCCATACTATAATTTGGAAAGTAGCGAAGTACAAATTTCTCCGACAGTTTTATCCTCGGATCTAGTTACTCCAGCAGTACCGAGAAAAGTCACTCTTCCATCTGTGGGGTAAGTCAGGCTCGGAATTTTCACAGGCATGTAAAAATAAGGGTGGTTCGAATGCAAGTGAACTTGCTCAGTCGTATTAGCTTTTTACAGCCGTTACAAAAGAAATGATATTTGCGAGGAACACCTGAGACAAGGCAACGATTAGTCATCTGTTGACTACCCTCTGCATTTTTGCTTGAACCTCTGATTGTGGAGCCATAGTCAGAAGAACTGCCATAAACGCCACAGTAAATGCGCTCGAAAATTGTGACTTGATACTGTTAACTTTCTCACGATCTGAATAGGGTTTTCCGAAGGCCGAATAATGTAACGAGCTGGGGCTCCGAAAGCACTAAATATGGAGGTATAGGAAAGCTGCCTTTGTTGACAAAAACTTCCCATGCAGTTAACTATGACGTCGTCACAAGTCGCAGCCATAAACATTACTCCAGTAGAGTCAATGACTAGTAGGTGAAACAAATTATCATACTTGTTATCAATAATTGAATTGTTAATACGATGGGCTATTTCAGTGAGAAATACGTTCATTTTTAGTCAGACAACAGTCCATACAAGCTTTGCCGTTGATCACAACCTTTTCCTATTGTGGCAAGTTCGTTAAATCTTTTGGTAATCATAGGATGACCGGTTCATGATGAATAGCCTGGTCATCCCTTGAAAAAGACATCTTACTCATCTTTTCCAGCAATGCATGCTCTCAACCTTATGCTGTTACCTCGCTATCTCTCAGCGGATGCAGAATGAACGATCAGCTGTAAGTATTTGTGATAGCTTTCCTTAGATCTAAATCAGTGATATGGGTAAATGTCGCGGCAGTGGAATTCATGGATACATTTGACTATTCCATACCGGTTAAGTATTAATAACAGGATAGGGTCATATTCCTTTCGTCATTGTCGTTATTTCATCATTTGCATTGAATTGGGTGTTGTTGAAAAAGGCCGTTACCGTGGTTAGTGATCAGCAGCTTATGAAATAATACTTGAAAAGATAAGAATTCAATTTAAACTATAGATGGCAAAAAAATTCCCTTTATTTCGAGCCAAACAACAAGTCAATAAATGTGCGAATCATTTCATTTTCTTTTTTTTTCTGTTTTCTTGCAGATTGCCAGCTCCCTTGAACACTGAGTAAGTGTTAATGTCAAAATGTAGCCATGCAACATACACAAAGAAGAGTTTGACAAAAGATCATGTAGCAATTTCAATGCACTACATGTTCGCCAGCTTCAGTATGGCAACGGCCAACAAAATCCCCTAGTCAATGTTGGGACTAATGTAACGTCTTTTCAGACAGTACACCTGCTCAAATGCAAGAAATTTTGAATGGAACTTCCTTTCGTCTTGTCATCATGTTTTCTTTTTTTTTCCTTGTACCAGGCATGGAAAATTAGACGAACCTTGGCCTGGACATCCTTACACGTCTCACATTTGTCAGTTTGACGTTTTTCCAGGATTTGACCCTGTGCGCACAAAATTTGATGGTATGACTATCAAAGTCTGATTCTTTGGTTAAAAAATTGTATTATATTTTTACGTTCTCCCACCCCTCCCCTCTACGGTTGAGGATTCTTTTTTTCTACCTTAGCTTAGACTTGCACAAAAGTTTCAGTTACAATTCGTGTTCTATTGGTTTTGCTTTCCGTCAGTTTTTCATTGGTCACTTACTTGTAGTGTTGTTTATTCGTGGAGGTCTCAAGTAAGTCTCGGAATTATCTCGAGACATATGAGGTTAGCTAGATTCGTAAACCCAAACAAGCCCAAACGCCTTCAATTCACCACCCCGTTAGGTATATAAAAAAAACTTTAAAAATTCGAAAAAAAGAGAACGATGGCAGAACAGATTCTCACTAATTTCTCATCTTTCCATTTTTTTTCGGCTCTATATTTCAGTTCCATGTGGAAGGAAACTTAAGCAGGTAACCTGAACGTCATTTAAAATGGAATTTGCCGGTATTTTTAAGAAACGAGTGAGAGTCGCATTTTGTTTTCATTCTTGAAAATTACAAGTGTAGTTACAAGCGTAATTAATAACAGACGTGCGTATTTCATATTTACACTTCCTACATTCTTCTGAGGATACTCACGATAATAATTTATTTGGGCATAAATTAAAAGCTTCAGGTAGGGAATAGTTAAGCAAGCGTTCAAAAAATTGATGCACCGGTAACTTAAGGCAAGTGACTTATTCATTCGTTTGTTCAGTCATTCATTAATTCATTTATTTACTCAGGTCCTACAGGTACATCCATTCTTTGATAATTACAATTTACAATACTTCTAGCCGACGACTACCTTAGGCAATTTATTTTTAGCATTTGGTGGGTGAATCGAAGATGACAGCTCAAGTATAATACTCAAGAATGCTGAATAGTAGGTAAAGATTACAGAACAAGACAAACTGATAGAGGTCCGTCATAAATTTAAAGAAGCGTTCAGGCCCAGAGCTGATCTTCCTCTGGGGTATCGCTAATCTATAATAATATTTTCTTTTACAGAAATTAAACCCTGCAACAGAAGAGGCGTTGGAAAATCTATCAAAGAGGATGTATCGCACTCCAGTATACCAAGAAAACATTAAGGAATTACCTGAACCCAGCCCTACGGTGCTCATAGATCTTGTAACAATCCAAAACGGGAACAAAATGCCAATTGGAATGGAAAACTGGCAAGTAAATGACCAGGTAGAGTTAGATAGAAACGAAACAAGAGAGGAGGACGAGGAGGACAACGAGACAGAGGTGAATGAACTTATGAATCCAATTTTTTTTTTCTGACACTCATGAAAGTTCCTTGGTTTCCTGTTCAGAAAATTCTCCGGAGAAGATCAAAGACGGAACGCTAGCGTACGAAATATCGTGCTCATATGCTCTACTATCCTGCCTGTTCTGGTTAGAATTTTAAAGAACAACTCAAGTCCCGGCAGTGTGAGTTCTTACGGCTTCTCGTCTTTTTTGCCACTATTTTATGTTGTAGGAGAGCAAAGAGTACTGCGAGCGTAAGAGTGAGGGCAAACTCGACAACGAAAAGGTGCCAACTGATTCTGCATCATCAGCAGTGTGGCCCATATGGCCAGTTGGACTCAAAATGAGAAAAACGCCGCTGAACTACCCTAAAATTCCACTCCCTGTGTACACCCCGCTGGACTTCTCAAAACGAGATCAGTCACAGAACAGTAACAACTGTAGCCATGTCTCAGGGGAGCAAACTACGCACTGTTTGCAATTGGACGCTATGTTCACTAAAAGCCACACCAAGAAACATGCTACATTTACAAATCAGTACGTCCCTGCATTAACTGCATATAGATACAGCTCTTTGGGTCTAGAAGATTCAAAGCACCTGAAGTTTACAAGTCCAGAGACTAAGAACTTGAAGGAAATGCAACCTGTTCATGTTAGTCTCGTCCCGGTCAAACATCCGGCTGGCGTTGATTACGTAAGACTTCCCCTGATTGGACGAGAGAAAGCAACTGAGCAATCCCGTGAGCCCCCACCACAGAACCACTGCGCAACTAGGATGCTGGGAATACGTTTTAAAACGGATGCACACAGAAGGTATGTCACGAAGAAACATTCTTTTACTAAAATATAAAAACTGAAAATGTCGAATACCCTACTGAGGCACATTGAGCGTAATTTTTGTCAATTAGATATTTTTTATCGTTGTGCCCTCTGGTGTTGTGCTTTCAAAATCTGACAAATTTCTTTTCACTTTCTCCTTAACCGTGTTTCGATTTCTTAAACTCAAGCGAAACTTGCTCTTCTTTTAATTACTTATCATTAGCAGGCTCCTCATCAGGTATTTAAAGTATTACATGAAAATGCATTCGTGACAGGCATACTGGAAGGCTCACAAATATGCTGGTTACTTTGTGAAATTACATAACATCCAAGCTCCTTTTTTTTTTTTAATCCTGCTAGTTGTTTTGCGTTGATTGTTTGAATAAATCATTATGTGATAAAACATTCAATACCAGAATTCAATTCTGGTATAATAATCAAACATTGTATCAATATTGAGCAATACTAAAAGTAACCTAAACCTTGTCACTTATGGATTTTTCTCAGCTTAAAAAGTCACTGGAGGCGATTAATTTAAGTGTTTGTTCAATTTTTGCAAAGAAATAGGCAGAATTAGAAGTATCCTAAAATGTACAGAGGTTGGATGAATATGAGCTGCTACTATCCCATTCCGCCCGTCGGAGTGAGGTCACTTGCACCGACAATTTTTTAAAGCTTGTGTGTTATCTTTTGTAAAGCCAGGCTATCTACAAAGCCTTTGAGAATCTGGTTCAGGGGTCAATCTCATAGCGGGTTTCCTTTAAATCTTGGTTGGCAATTTAAGCGTTCGGTACGTTATATGCCCTGTTTCATGCTTGCTTGAGCAGGGTCAAGGTATCTCTCATGACTTCCTCTTCTGTTGTTATTTTACCAGGTATAATACCACTTATACAAACGTTGTTCCTGATCTCAGAGATTCTGTGAACACTGGAAGAAGGCATTTCTTTTGGGGAATCCACGCATGCGCTTTGAGATAACGTATCTCGCAGAGTGACATTTCATACCGAAAGGATAAATTTCATTCTGTTAGGTCAAAGTGTGAGTTTTTATATTGCGAAAACATGACTGGGTGCCGAAAGGTTTCTCGAGACTTTTATGGGCCGTGGTTATTGATACTGAACCAGTTTGAGTTAACCGGGCTCAAAGACTCAAACTGAGTTAAAACGCATCATGGAAAGATGGACAAATAAACGGTGAAATTCAAAAGAAAATAAAGGGGACTTTGTTCTCCCGATTGGTCTAAATTGTGGATTTATTTAAATGTTCTCGACCCGCGACCATCTTGCCACTCAGTTCTGTGCGTCATTCTTTGTAAACAAAGGATTAAATCAACGAGCTTACCGTGTATGACGTTCAGAATGGACTTTGACGTCTGTTCCTATTTTTTTTTTTTCGAAAAACTTCAAATTTTGACTGATTTTAACCATAAACGATTATAGTTTCATACTGAAGGTCCTTCAAGACAGTGCATGTACGTATACAATGTAGTATCATATGTTCCGTACGAACAAGAAGCCATAACACATAAAAGTGACTGAAGATTGTATAGAAATTTCATAACTCGGTGATCGGTATCACTGCTTCCAGTTACCTCTACAGGTTTCAAGTTATTCTTGTCGTTTGCTTTCTGTCGTTTATTTTCTGTGTAACATGATCGAAAGGCGAATAAAAGCGAGACGTCTAAGCTCGAATGATACGGTACGGCGAAGTTTGTATGTCTCATTTTTATAGTCGTGTCTGAAAGACCGTTTCGGCAAATCTGGCTTATTCAAAATAAGTAAACTTTTTATATAGATCAAACCGGAAAGTGTTTCTAAAAATGTCATCCCATCTCCCACATGGCAATTACGAAAATTTTTTCTTTGTATGTTTACTGATGTGACGAAATTAAAGATGTTTCATAAAAGGAAAAATATTGATTTCCTTTCCGCAGAGACACTAAATTACTGTTTCCATTGCATGCGTGAACTAAGTGGAAATCGAATATTTCCTAACAAGGCACTTACACGTAAATTAATTCATAAAACGAAAAAGTACTTTTCACGTCTGTCGGGGAGAGACAAAGTTAAGTAGCTTTAGTAATAAATCGCTGTATTTGACTTTGAGTGGGAGACAGATTTACCGGCTGAAAGAAATGTCTGAAATGTTTTTTTTTAGTTTTTTTTCTATCTAATCAAACGCTGATAGCAACTTCAAATGAGCGAAAGGCTGTGAGGTGCCGATATCAATCTCTTACCCTATGATTTTCAACCGCAATAATATCGACAATTATATAGACCTAACCTTTAAGTAAAATTCCACTCAAATAGTTTTAAAGCTTTGTCGCTGGTTACTTGCTCGTATATTAAGACTAAGTTAAAAATTTTTGTCAAACGAGTGCAAGCGATGCTTGTTTCCTGAGTTCAATATAAGATATTTAAACGGTCGTTCGGGAAAACAATTGATTAAGATGATTAACGTTCAACCAAACAAGCACAGCTTCGCGATCGTAAAGCGAACATCGATTGATCAAATCCATGGCCCACTTTTTTCCGCCACTATTCTGTCGATTTGAGTGTGTGCGCTATCGTTAAAATTCGTTTATATCCTAATTCTGAAAATAACAGCCGAATTTTTCTCAACCCCAATTAAGCACCACTGTTGATGAGAGTTCGTTTCTCCGACCGAGCGGATAGACCACAACCGAGTTCCGTTTTAGTGTATTGATAGAGCGAAGGTCACTTTAGTCTTATTACGCAAGAAGCCCCATACTAAACGCCCACTTATTTTGCATTTGATTTTCGTCTTCGATTATATTATATTGTAATTTTGTAATGTTTTGATCTCTCCTATTAGAAATACCATGCAATATCAACCCTCCATGTCATCAGATTCAATTAAAACCATTCGGTAATAAAAGTAAATCTCTCTACCTTAGTTACCCCTTCCTATTCAAAAGAAATGTGAGTGAAAAATTTAGGAATTTGCAATTCTAAGAAATTAATAAAATTATTTCGAATGCTATTTTCATCTGTGCCCGTCGACCAAGTGAGCAGAGTTCTATGGAAAAGAAAAATTGACTTATTTAGCTATTGTTATTTTATTTTGGTGAAACGTTTCGTAGATACGAACTCTCCGTTTTAGCAATGTTTTTGTCTGTCTACATTTTGAAAGGAGCAATTGTTAAATGATTGAATATTTGCAAAGTCGACCGACCAATCCTGAGCGTCTTCGCCTACTGTCATTTTACGGACATACCAGCAAGTTCAAGAAATCACCTGTGCGACGGAAATTATGTTGGTTTAATTATGATAATATATTTTCATCTTTCCAAATTTGGGTTATAATATGTGAGTTTACAGCCTCCAATTGGTCAATGATGATAATTATTTCACAATAAGCGGTGCTCTCTTTCGTGTGCGAACAATAGATCGGTCATATAAAATTCAATGACTTCTGTGGGACGGTAGTTCGTTGGTTTCCGTGTATTCCTCTCACAGTATTTTCTCGTCATGGAGCATTCCTCTTTAGATTTAAGTATAGTAAAGAAGGAGCCGGGATTTGACGAGCCTTTTTCGTCCGAACACGGGATATTCGACAACATGATGTCAGATGATTTTCACGACACAAGCTTCCATTCAGTGGTGGGTGCAGATTCCATTCATACGCCTTGTAGTAAAACCACTCAAATTACTGTCTTTATAGAAATTTCATTTGTCTGCTTTTACTGACATTTCCTGCTTTCTCTGCGCAGCACCACCTCTCTGAAGAAGTTCCCGTGGACTGGCTATCAGGATTTTTTGACGAGGTTTCTTCCTGTAGCGACTCGACTTTGAACTACAACAACACTCTACCAGAGTACACATCAAGTAGTTTATCATACAACTCGCTTGGGAAATCACATTATCTAAGTTTGAATGGCCTAAGTATGGATACAATGCCTAGCCTGCCAGAGGAATGCTCCAACGAGTCGCTGTATTGCTCAACGCCTTCAGCTCCGCACACACCAGACTACAAGCCTCTTTCACCCGCCTCGATAGATTCTTCACCGCTGGAAACCGATGTTAAACCACATCTGTTTGGCAGAGACGCTTTTTTCGAACCCCAAGAAAATTTTGCACCACAGATAAACAGTCGATTAGAACCGGCAGAGCTTAAAATGTTCGAGGCGAATGACGGACCAAAAAGTTTACCAGACTCGCCTAATTCTGAAAACGACTCCGAACGCATTGACAGTGAATCTGGTAAGTCACGAAACGGAACTTTCCGAGCCTTGAAGCACTTCCGTTCCTTCTGTCTTTCATTGTATGATTTTCTTTTCTAAGTGACTTATACTGGCGTTGTAAACAACAAATGGGTCTTAAACCATGAGGAAGACATTAAAATTTTATCTGGTGTTGGTAAATACGGACCCCTTTGTTTCTCACATGACTCAAGTTTGTGTGACTTCCCTTAGCAAGGGGCGAGGAAAGCGCCTCTCTTGTTTCCGGAAATTGGTGTAATGTCAAAAAAAAAGAACGGTTTAGTTTTTCCTACCCTCTCAAATATGACCATATAAACAAAACAGGGCTTGAATTTCTAAGACATGAGCGATTCAGCAGGTAAGCTTACAGCTTTATGTCTTGTCTGAAGAATGATCTTTGAACTACGAGATGCAGATAGATTGTATCAAGTTAAGCCATGTCAGAGATTCCACCAAACAAGGTTATTTTGTATTATCCAAATGAATCTTTCAAACTGTGTTTTCGTCAATCCCTGACCTATTTTTTTTTATTTCTCTTTGATATCACCATCACTGAGACTTTTTTCATGGGTGCTTCAAATTCCATGGGAACAGAAATGTCTCTCGTGAATTACGAAACCTTTTCCTAGTTACGTTCAATTTTATTGTAAAAATTCATTGGTAAGAGATCTGGTTTGTTTGGAAAACCGTGATTTTGATATTTATTTTTTATTTGGTTCTCTGACTCATATCATATATGATGTCTGTGATATAAGGTTCAGACCTCAAAAAAATGAATGCTTGGTCTAGACATTTGATCTAGGCGATTCTGTTGGTGTTCTACTTTTTGTCCGAAGGTTCTCTCCTTTTCTTTGTTCACTCTGGTGTGAGATTTATGCAGTTCTTACTCATTTACTACCTCGTGCCATCTTTACTTAGAACTAAAGCTTAATTTAGTACCAGCTGTGTAAATTTAAGCTGTGTCCTACATCTATTAACATTATGCTGGACTCTAATCGTTGTTAAAAGCATTTTGCAACTAAGTGATTTCGGTCACCGTAAATTTTCTCTTTGACTTTCACAGTGAGAAAAAATGGAAAACAAATAATTTTTTTTTCAAAATGAATATTTTGGTTTGATAAAGGGTAAACATTTTTTCAATAAAGCTTAAAACTCATCCCTTAAAACATTTTACATTATTTGAGGGTAGCCTTTTTATGGGAAGCAAGGAGGAGCAAAATCCAAGATTGCTTTGACTGGGACCAAAATTGTTTTGAAAGTAGCTGTTAAGAAATAGAAGGTTTTACTTTTGGACAAAATAATTTGCTTATTTGCTCATTGCTTAAGCAGTTTAGAAGAAATACAGAAACAGTGTCAGTCCCTCAGAAGCATGCCAATCACTTTCAAATTAAGAAGTTGGTGTCCCTCCCCCTTCTCAAAACTGAATTAAATGATTTAAAAACCTTTGAAGATGACTAAAAAAGTGGCATCCATCTGACAAACTTTGCTACTGTAGATGTGTATGTGTACTTTTAATTTACCTGTCGTGTTGTAGTATAGTGCTGTTGATTTTAACACTCCCTAGTGACTTCTAGCTCTGCTTTCCCTTTTTGTGACAATAATTGTTCTTTTACCTCTCTAAACTTTTCCTTACCTTATTCACAAGAGTTGAGAAGCAAGTCAGTGAAGTGTTCATGGATTTCTACATTTTACCCCCAAAATTAAAGTAACAATGTCCCTTGTTAACAGTAGTCTTTGACTTTTGTGGTCTTGCCATGGTAATTAAAATTGGTGGGCAGAGGACAACAATCTTTTCCGGCAAGCTTCTTAAGGCTTTTCTAGAATGAACAGTAGTTATGGCAACAAAATCATCACTGTATATTGGGAATCAGACCAAAATTTTGTCCTTTTTAAATTTTTTCTTACAGCTGTAATGATGTGACAGTACACATTTCTTACCATGAAAACATAAATGTACCTTACAACTGTAAATGTTTGACACTCAGCAAACCATCTCTTACATGTACTTTCTTTATTCAGCTTCTGGTGATGGTTATTTTAACCCTACGCTGCCTGTCCAATCAGAATTTGCGACTCTCAGAGCATGTAGACCTTACAGTAAGCATTCATTAAGCTGACATTAAACTAAAGTGGGAAGAATTTCTTATCAGACTGTAAAAACCAAGCAGAGGACTGTTTTTCTAGGTGTTCTCTTTGTTCTAGAAAGTCATGCTTTTTTTGTCCTTTGAATTTACATTTAGGCACATATTGATAAAGGAAAACGTCTTTTAAGGTACAGCTGAATGTTGTATCAGTCTGTTTTAATGGTTAGGAGCTACAAAAAAGAACAAGGAACATTTTTTTAACATTGAAAAAGTAGCTTCAATAACTGAGTAGATGAAATCATTCTTTAAGAAAAAAATCATTTTCTGCTTGGCTCTAGTTTGATTAAAATTCAGTCTACTTTTAATTAATAAAACAGAAGCTGAGTAATCAAAGATGA